ATACTGCATACATCCTCATACATAAACACAAGGTACACACCACACACGCGCACATACAAGCATATACACACATGCACACACACAGCCATACAAACATATACACACATGCACATACCACATGCACCGATACATACAAACACATACACACATGTGCACACACATACTTACACATCCTCTCACACAAGCAGCAAGACTGGGGTGTGTCTACACTGACACAGCTCTGACAATCACCCTGCCGGCTTTCTAGTTCCCTGGCTCAGAGCCCAGAGGACCGTGCGATTGTTCAGGGACAGACACTGAGCCCAGAGCAGCCTCTTCTACATACTTCCCCACGACCCCTGGCTCTGGCCTCCAGGAGAGCACAGAACAGGCCCGATCCCTCTCCTGTGCCCATGGTGACCATTCAGATATCAGGCCGTGGGTTTATAAACGCCCCCACCCCCTCTCCCCAAAATAAGGGTCCATGCTGGGAGGAAGCCAAGAACAGAGAAGGTCCCAACTCCAGGGCTGCTCAAGGGCTCATCTCTGGCAGTTTCTGAGACTAGTTCGGTAATATCTCTTTATCTGGAGTACGAGACACAAAGCCCTGGGTCTGGAGTCAGGGGATCTGAGTTCAGCTCCCAAACTCTGCCACTTCGGGGAAGGGTGACCTTTGGTAAGTCCCCTCCCTTCCTTGAGCCTCAGTTTCCTCATCTGACAATGGGGACGAGAATGCTTGCAAAGGATGCTTGGGAGGATAGGGTTTCAAGAGCCACCTCTGTGCTGTGTGACCATTTCTCAGCACTCAGGTCAGCTCCCCAAGATCGTAGGCTGTAGAGAAGGTGCCAGCCTGCACTGGCAGGGGGAGTTTCCTCACTGGTCTAGTGTGGGTCCTCAGACCAGTGAAAATGTGGGTGCGTGGCTCTGTTCAGGGGAGTCTGGGTGGGTGAGGAAAGACGGGGGTGGGTGGGGGGGAGCTAATTCCTCTCCTAAATGATTTACTCAAAGACAGAGAAGAGTGGATAATGGGTTTTGTTTTATTTTTTCTATTCCCTCATTCACTGTTCTATGTTCAGCCTCTGACCACAGTCCAAAGCCTCCCAGCCATTACCTGTCTTGTTTCCGTGAGCATTTCTCACAATGCGGATGGCCACAGGCTTGAGGGGCACCAGAAATTCTCTAACATTTTGCTGGAAAGAGAAGGAAAAAAAAAGATGAAAAAAAAATAATTTGGGATCAACTCGACTGAGGAATGAAGGCAAGCTGAAACCGTGCCGATCTATGGGGCAGGCTTCTGAAATCAGATCTGATGAAAGCCCACATGTTCCATGGGTGACAAGGGGGACTTTGCTGCCAGGACGCCCACGTGAAGACTCACCAGCTAACACCGGCAATGGGACTGGGTTTCCAAATGGTCAGAAGACAGAACTTTTGTGCCCTCCCTGTGTCTTTCACAGCGATCTCTTGGAGGAAGGCTTAGACTTTCACAAACCATGATTTCAAAATAAGTGAACGAAATGGGAACTCTTCTAAGTTTGGGGAATTGTCTTGGTTCCCTGGTTCTACACTCCTGGATGCCAAATCACCAAGTGATAATGCCCAGGTCACCTTGGCCAAAGAACTCGTTCCCTACTGGACAACAGCCTGGTGATGCTTAGCTAGTCTAGCCCTAGGACAGCAAACAGGAGTTTGTCCCTGGTGCTGTATTTGAAACCTTTCCAGATTGGTATGACCTGAGCTTGCTGTCCCCTGGCAGAGCATCCAAGAGCTCAAGATCACCCCCACGCCATGAGGATCATCACAGAGGCCTCCAATGGAGTGCCACCAAGTCCTGAGCCCTCCACATGCACCTTGGGCTCACCAACCAGGAGAGGTTCCCTTTGTCCCACCTTCCCCAAATGTGCCCAGCTCATGGCAAGGGTCTTGAGGGTGGCCCTGAAAGCATCTCCACCATGACTCAAGACAACACTCACCTCAGTGACATTAAACGGCGCTCCACGCAGCTTTACCGTATAAGCAGTGGCGGGCTCGGGGTGGGTGGCTAGCTTCATCACCTGAATGGCCACAAGAGATGACAAAGGGGAAGAATATGAAACGAATGCCCTGAGAGTTGAGTCCAAGGACCAGATGAATCCCACCAGAGAAGGGGAAGCTGGTTGCCACAACGGGCAAGGTCAGACTGGGACAGGTCGAGTCTACAGAGGGCCAGGAGGTCAGAGCCCACCTGTAGAGGTGGTCTCATCAGCCAACACTACAATGATGTCTCTGCTCCCACTCTCAATTTAGGGACTGGGTCAGGTTTCAGAAAAGGGCCATCTGGGGATTTATTATGGACCCTGCGGACAAGGAAATGGGACAGAGTGCAAAAGAACAGTCTGTAGGACACAGTGAGGCAGGGGCAAAAGGGAGAGAATGGAAAGAAGGAAGGAAGAGAAGGAACAGAAGGTGGGAAGGGGGAGAAGAGGGACCAGGGGAGGGAACAGAAGGAAGGAAATGAAAAGGAGAAAGCAGTGGGGGCTAAAAGAGATTGGGCTATAGAGGAGGCTGGGAGCCCCCGGAGGAGACGCTCTCCTGCAGCGGGTACCCTGGGTGGACTCGGGCCATGAGGGACCAAAAGGGGTCAGAGGCTGTTTATCCCGGGGGGGACGGGGGACCCTTTCAGAGGCTTCTGAGCTGGGGGGAAGGGCTGAAGCCCTGGAGCACCTGGGTTCAAACCCTGCTCCTACATGACCCTGGCCAAGTCACTGTCCCTCTTAGAGGCCTCAGTTTTCCTGATCTCTAAGCTCTCTCTAAAATAAAAACAATCCCCCACGATTTCTGAGGACCTCTCCTCACTCGGCTGTACCCGAAGGGCAGCAAATGCCCCCGCTAAGGCTCTCGCACCTCTCCCTTGGCTGCCGCGGGTCTCGTGCCCCCAGCCGTGGCGTCCCCCTTCTCCCTGGGGCGCTCAGAGCCTCTGGGGCCCGGTGTCAGCTGCTCCTCCTCTTCACATGCCATCATCTCATCTTCACTCTCCTCCTCCTCCGAGGAATCCGCTCTCACCACCTTGGATTTCAAGTAGTCCATGTCGGAAAGTTCCTTCTGCTCTGCTGCCTTCGCCTCAGGGCTTTCCTCTGCTCAAAGAATAAAGGAAACCCATGTTAAGGAGAGAGGGATCGAGGTGGGGTGGAGAGTGTTCCAGAGTTAGGGTCAAAAGACTTGAGTTCGAATCCTGCCTATGATCTTACTAGCTGTGTGACTCTGGGCACATAACTAAACCTCTCTGGGCTCTACCATCTCCATCATTCAAACGAGAGAGTTGGACGTGATGACCTCAAAGGGCCCTTCCAGCCCTAAATCTACAAGCCTGTGGATGTTCTACCACCCTCTTCACGAGTCAATCTTTGGAAGAGTCCAAGGTTCGTCAGACTGCTCCCTGAGCAGAAAGAGTCAGAGGTGCTCTGGGTGACAAAATGAGCAACCACGAAAGGCACTCTTCTCCTGCGGTCAGCGTCCACTTGGGTCCAATGTGAAGAGCCACGGACGTCCCAGTTGGAAGAGCAGGGTGCAATTCCTGCCTGTGGCCCTCAGGAGCTGCAGGATTTCTGGTCCTAACTTGTACTACGGATGCTGCTGGAGGCCACTAAGGAGAGAAAGCAAGGCTGGGAAGTGCAGAATCCCAGGGCTCGAAGGGACCTGAGAACACTTAAAATAGAGGCTGTGTCAGGACTGGAAAATGAGCTCATTAGGACTGAGAATGTGAGAGCTGGCAGGGCCCTTAGAACAGGGGATGTCAGGGCTGGGAGGGGCCTCAGAACAGGGGATGTCACGGCTGGGAGGAGCCTTAGAACAGGGAATGTCAGGGCTGAGAGGAGGCTTAGAACAGAGAAAGTCAGAGCTAGGAGGAGTCTCAGAATAGGGGATGTCAGGGCTGGGAGAAGCCTCAGAACAGAGGATGTCAGGGCTGGGAGGGGCCTTAGTACTTATGCAATACAAGCTTTTCATTTTCTGAATGGGGACACTGGGATGGGCAGTGGTTGCCTGGCTGCCTCGGCTGAGCTTAACCTACACCCCAGGTCTCCTGGCTCCATTGGGCAGACTGCCCCAGATGGAGCTCTACTAGCTGCTTGGCATCAAGGACCTTCCAAACCTTTCAGACAACTAGTCCTCAGGAACCAATGGGGCCCAGCAGCCACCAAGAATAAGACTTATAGATGAAGAAACTGCCTTCCCTTGGTTCTTTGAATAACCTAACCAAACCATGCTATGATGCCAGGCAGGATCCGGGGGCTCACAAGGGGCTTTCCTTGGTTCCCAGGCCACAGGGCCCTTTTTGAAAAGATGATGAGTGTTCGATAGCATCAGCAGGGATGTAAAGAGAAATACACACACACACGCGGGCACACGCGCGCACGCACACGCACACACACACACATGCTTACTTTCAGAGTCTTCATCATCTATTTCTTCTTCACTCTCTTGCCCCGAGTCAGAATCAAAGTTCAGGTAGTCATCATCCCTCTTGGCCTTCCCTTTCTTTGGTTCCACTCCCACGGTATCATTTGCCCAAGTGGCCACCTGTGTTCGCTTCTGATGAACCATCAGGAATTCCTGAAACTCAGCATCTTTCTTCAGCTGTTGGGATGGAGGAGACAGATGGGCGAACGACTCAGGTGGACTGATGTCCATCTCCCCAAGGCTAGGAAGGTCACTTAACTGGCCATTAAGGAAGCTAGAGCTCTACCCCCTGGACCACACAAGGGAGGTGCCAGGAAGCTGATCTCGCTCAGCTCTGTGGCTCCTGTGAGCCAACTTCCTGTCTTGCCATGCCCCTTTACCTCCCCCCCTTTCACACACATGCCCACCCTCCCCTTGCCTTTCCCACACTCACTTTTTCCAGTTCTCCCGTTGCCTTTTTCTTCTTTTTGTCCTAAAAATAGAAGGAACGGTCAGTGCTTCACCCAACCCACATCTGGTAGATGGTGCTGGTCTAGACTGCCCTGTTCTGGGACCTTCCCATTCCTAAATGCCACTGAAGCAGGGGTACTTAGACCTATTTGGGTCCTCTTCCCAACATACCCTTCCCTTACGTGGGGGCCAGTCTGCCTGGCAGTGGTAACGTTCCTATGCCTCCTCACACTGGGCTAATATCCCAAGTGCAGAGAATTCCTGTCCTCTATCCCCAATCACTTCACCTTCTGCCTGGTAGCTGCTGATCTGGGCCCCAGGGCCCTCCTGAGGTTTCCAGCTGAGCAGCGTGAAGTCACAGAAACACCAAATTCCAAAGCCGAGACAGATCTCAGTGACAGTCTACTCTAAGCCATGTCCAAAAGAGTCCCTCTGCAAGACACCCACGGTGTCATCTGGCCTCTACACAGTGACCTCCAGTTGGGGGCCACTCCAGGACAGCTCCCACGGTCAGTGTGCTTTCCCTTCTACCCACTGCTCCTACTTCTGCCCTCTGGGGCCCGAGGGAACAAAGCTAACAATTTTCTCTTTCCCCTCAAGGATTTTCTTCCCAGACTAAACATCCCCAGCTGCTTCAGCCGATTCCCACGAAACACGGTCTCAAGCCCCTCCATCGTCTTGGCTGTGTTCCCCAGATGCCCTGGCCAGTCCTGTGCTGAGAACTCTAAGTACATGTCAGGGAGGAGGAAGTCACTCCTCACCTTCTGAGTTTCCGAGGCCACTGGGCTTTCTTCGAGTTTCCCTGGCTGGGTGGTTTTCTGGGAGTGTTTGCTCCAGGCTCGGGGCTTAGATGGGTCTCCAAATGACTTGCAGAACTCCACCTAAGGGACAGAGAAGGAAACAAAGGGGATCTTTAAAGTGCATCCCTCCACAGAAGAGGCAGCTTGCCAGGATTCCCCACGATGGCAGCCTGGGGAGGACACCGAGACAAAGCTGGGAAAACAACCTGGGGGCGGAAGGGAGAGGAAAGGATGGAACAAAATACGATCCGAGATTGGAGACTTCCAGGAAGCTCCGAGAGGGCAGGGATTTTGTCTTGGGTAAACTGTACCTTCCCCGTGGAGCTCTGCACACAGGAGGGGCTAAATAAATGTTTCCTGAATAAAGGAATCTGCCCAGGACACAGACATTCAGGTGAACAATACGGGAATCACCTAAAAGAGGGTCTCCAAGCCCACTTCCCTGCGAGCCCATGGTGGTCCGGGAGTGACTGATGAAGAATGAGAAATCAGCAGAGTAGATGGCAAACAGGCCTCGCGTGCAGCTGGGGCCAACTCACCATGACCCGAGAAGTGTCGATGAAGCTCTTGTGGAAGTGGTCCAGGGCACTCTGCGCCTCCTCCGCAGACTTGAAACCGATGAAGCCAAACTTGCGAAACTTGCCATCCTTGGTGAATTTGAGGCTGCAGTCCGTCAGGGTGCCAAAGGCTGAGAAAAGCTGCCGGAACCGCTCTTCCTTCATCTGCGGGAGCAGAGGAGACAAAGGCTGACATGGAGGTAGCAGTGTATGGTTCACAAAAAGCTTTCCACCCAAGGACTCCTCGGAGACCTACGACAAGCCGGTGAGTGAGACAGCATTCTCATTTTACAGATGAGGAAACTGAGGCTCGGAGGGGTTAAGTCACCTGCCCGTAGTCCCACAGCTAGTAAGCATCAGGAGGTGAGATTAGAACCCAGGGCTTCCTGACTTCAAGTCTGACACTCTACCCATTGGGCCACATTACCTCAGTGAGGAAGACCTATGACAAGGAAAATGGTGGGGGATGGGAAAAGGACCAAGATTGTCCTACCCTGCTCCTGACATTCAGTGAAACACTGTAGGGATCCCATCACCCGTGTGCCCCCAAACATACTTTGTATACTCCATTTTTATAATCTCTATACACGGTACTTTGGCTCCCTACAGTGTAAGCTCCTTGGGGACAGGGCCTGTTGCATCTTTGTATTTCTAGCCCCTACAACAATCCCTGGCATAGAACAGTTGCTTAATCAATGCAGGTTGAACTGATCAGAATTTTTGTTTTCCCCATCCTTCCTCCTCCAGCCCAGAATAGCCACCAGGAGTATATACACAAAGTCTACAAAGTACATTTCAGACTTTCCAGGAAAATATTTAACACCATCATCCTATCATATATTATTATTCCAAGAGAAAAAGACGCTGAGCCTTGTCTAAGTGGAACAGGAAGGGAACAAGCATTTATTAAGCACCTGCTATACGCCAGGTACTGTGCGAAGCATTTTATAAATATTATCTCTTTGATCTTCACAACAACCCGGAGAGGCAGGTGCTATTATGACCCCATTTTACAGTTGAGGAAACTGAGGCAGACTAAGAGCAAATAATTTGGAAGGGCCCAAGACACCATCTACTTCAAAGCCTTCATTTTTTGGATGCGGAAACAGAAGCCAGCACAGGTGAAACGACTCGCTCGGGGCCACGCAGGAAACAGGCCAGAGGGCTGGGATTGAAGCCCATCGCATGTGCTTCCAGTTCCAGTGTTCTCTTCATTTGATACCAAGGGGATGAAAGGCAGGATAGTCTAATGGGGAGAGTGCTGGGTCTGGAACCACAAGACAGGGGCTGACCTCCTCCCCCCTCACTCCTTTCCTGCAGAAGCCTCTAAGCTGCCCTTGGCCACTCTCCAGTCCCAGGTCCTCCTTCCCTCCCAACCCGGACACACCAGTGTGGGAGGAGGAGTAGGCACCCCTCAGGCTCTTCGCTGCCAATTCCAAATCCTCTCCTCTCTCCCTGTTCTCTGGTCATTCTCCTTTCTTTCTCAAGGACTTCAGCACCTGACTCAGAGCCTTCCTCTTCACCCCAACACACACCCCTCTTACTTGGGGACACTGATACACATCGGTGGCCGTGCAAATACGTTGGCCTCCCGTTTCAGTGACCTTCTCGACTCCGATGACCCGCACCTTTACCTGGCCTGAGCCGTGAACACAACAAGAGCCCTACCCTTGATCCACATCTGTTCTACCTGCATGAGCCAGAAATCTGAAACTCCTCTTTCCGACCATAACCTTTTACCCTTCCATTTTGGCCACTGCCTCATTCCTCATAAACCGAGACCTATTACCCAGCCCACTCAGTTGTCTCATGTCTCCTCAGGCCTCCTTTTTCTCCCTTCCAAATCTGAACTGCAGAGTGAACCAACCAACCGTCTACTGTCCTCCACTCTCTAATCCCCCTCCCCACCTGGTCCTATGGGCACTTGGGCCTTGCCAGACCACAAGCCTGGGTCACCCTGACCATGGGCCTTCCCTGTGCTTGTTCACATGCTGCTGAACACCAATGGAAGAAGCCATTCTACTGTCCATGTCAAATGAGTCCACTGCACATTTATGCTGCGTATTTTCTACTGGCTCTCACCGCTGCCTGGCAATCCTTTTATTCTTCCTGAATTGACTATGATGCTCATCACATCACAAACCTTCTCTTCTCAAGCCTCCCCCACTTTCCCAATGCTTTCCCATTCCTGCTCAAAGCAGAGGGCTTCATCTCTTACTTTAAAGAGAAAATAGAGGTGACCAGCCAGGAGCTTCCCCTCTCCCCCTTTCAATAAGTCAAAATCCCTCCACACCATCCTCCATTATCTCTTCCTTTGCTTCAGACTCCAAGGAAGAGGCAGTCAAGTCTCTCCTGCCAGAGGTGATCCTCTCACTCGTACCTTTGATCATCACTTTTCTCTCCCTCTGAACCTCAATGCCTCTTGACCGGGCTCCCCCTTCCCTGCTGCCCAAGCCTAGCTTTCCTTGACCTTCACTGGAACCTGGGATGCCCAGAAGCTTTTCTCCATCTCCTTCCTCCTTTTCATAGACAAATTCCCAGAGAAAAACCTTCATTGATTCCTCTTCCTCACTTCCCACTTCCTACTCTACCCTTTGGTTTTTTTTTTTGTTTGTTTTTTAAAGGAATTGCTTTAATATTCATATACATTTTTACTTCTAGGAAGCTGGGAGCCCTGGGAGAAAGTACTATCTATTATCCTTAGAAATGTCTTTCAGAATTACAAAATCCTTTTGTATTTTATACGAACTCTAGAGGTCCTCATCCCAATTCCAAATGACACTAACAAGTCAGGTTCACAGAGCATAGACATATATCTCTTCCTCAAGGTTCTTGGGCCTACCTCTGAGGGATTGGGATGTCTGTCTTTTTTTTTTTTTAATTTTTTAAAATTTATTTCTTTTCAGTTTTCAACATTCACTTCCACAAGATTTTGAGTTCCAAACTTTCTCCCCATCTCATCCCTCCCCCCACCCCAAGATGGTACACTTTCTGTATACCCCTTCCTCTAATCTGCCCTCCCTTCTATCTCTCCCCTTCTCTTATCCCCTTCTATTTTCCTATAGGGCAGGATAGATTTCTATACCCCATTTCCTATATTTCTTATTTCCCAGTTGCATGTAAAACCAATTTTTTTTAACATGTGTTTTTAAAACTTTGGGTTCCAAATTTTCTCCCTTCCTCCCTCCCCACCCACCCTCATTGAAAAGGCAAGCAACTAGATACAGGTTATACATGTGTAGTCATGCAAAACATTTCCATAGTAGTCATGTTGTGAAAAACTAAGTATATTTCCCTTCATCCTATCCCGCCCCCCCCATTTATTCTATTCTCTCTTTTGACCCTGTACCTCCTCAGAAGTGTTTGCTTCTGATTACCCCCGCCCCCAATCTGCCCTCCCTTCTATCATCCCCCTGCTCTCTTGTCCCTTTTCCCCCCCTATTTTCCTGTAGGGTAAGATAGATTTCTATACCCTATTGAATATGTATGTTATTCCCTCCTTAAGCCAAATCCTATGAGAATAAGATTCACTCATTCCCTCTCACCTTCCCCCATTTCCCCTCCACTGTAAAAGCCTTTTCCTGTTTGTTTCATGTGAGATAATTTACCCCGTTCTACCTTTCTCTTTCTCCTTCTCCCAGTATAATCCTTTCTCACCCCTTAATTTTATTCTCCAAGTACTCTACCCTTTGTAACCTGGCTTTTGACCTCATCATTCAAGTGAAAATGCCCTCCCTAGGTCACCTAATCTCCTAATTGCCCAATCTATAAACTATTTTCAGTGCTCATCCTTCATGACCTCTTTAGCGCATGAGACCATCCCCTCCCTCCTCCACTTTTCTTTTTTTTTTTTTGGTGAGGCAATTGGGGTTAAACGACTTGCCCAGAGTCACACAGGTAGTGTCTGAGGCCACATTTGAACTCAGGTCCTCCTGACTCCAAGGCCGGTGTTCTATCCACTGCACCACCAAGCTGCCCCTTTCTTTTTTTCTTTCTTTCTTTCTTTTTTTTTTTTGGTCCTCCACTTTTCTAACAATGATCTCTCCTGGTTCTTTCCTGACCTATCTTACATCTCCTCCTCAGTCTCCATGGCTAGATCTACATCCTTATTATACCCTATAATTGTGGTAGCCCCCAAAGCTCTCTTCTCCTCTCTTTATAATCCTCTTTCTGGATGACCTCACCTGTTCCTATAGGTTCAATGATTATTTCTATACAGATGTTTCTCAGGTATACACGTATGTGCACATACATATATTTTTATGCGTACGTAAATATACATATGCATATATGTACGCACATCCCATGGCTTTGCTTAGTCTGTCCCCCAAGCTCCAGTCCAGAATCTCCCTTTGGCCATCTCCCGTGTCTTATATAGGCAGATCAAACATGCCCCAAAGAGGATGCATTAACTTCCCCCCAAAGCTTGCCCTTCCTTCCAACGTCCCTATTTCTGGAAAGGTCACCACCAGCCTTCCAGTCTCCTGGGCTCCCAACCTTAGAGCCTGCCTTGCCCGTTTTCACTCCTTCAGCCCTGGCGAGCCCATCAGCTGGCAAACCTTGTTCACACTCGCTCCCCAATGTAACTCCCAGCTGTCCATTTCTCTCCCGCACACGGTCCACTGTTCCTCCAGCCCTAACCACCTCTTCCTTAAATTATTGTTAACAACCCCTTAATCGGAATCTCAGCTTTCAGTCTCTCTCCTTTCTGATCTATCCTCCACACAAACGCCAAAATAATCTTCTGAAAGCGCACGTGAACACACTACTCCCAAGCTCAAGAGGTTCCGAGTGGCCCCCTCTTTCTCCTAGGATACAAAACAAGCTCCGGCTACAGGCATTTGAAAACCTCCACATTTGGCTACGGTCTTATCACACGATTCCCCTTCACACTCTCTATGATCTTGGCCAACTTGCTGTTCCACTACTCAGCATTTCATCCTTAACTTCTGTTTTTTACACAGGCTAGCTAACCCTGTTTGCCTCAGTTTCCTCAACTGTAAAATGGGTTGGAGAAGGAAATGGCAAACCACTCCAGGATCTCTGTCAAAAAAACCCCAAATGGGGTCACAGAGAGCCGGCCACGACTGAAATGACTCAATAACAACAAAAATCTGTCCTTTGTGCCTGGAAGACAGTCTTTCCACACCTCCACTTCTTAGAATCCCAAGCGTCCCTCGAGTCTCAGCTCCCAAGGAAGGCTGGGAGGAAGTATACTACAGCAGAAAGACCACTTGGCTGTGGAGTCAGTAAGTCTAAATTAAAATCTCATGTCTGACACTGTGACCTTCCGTGGGACTCAATTTCCTCATCTGCAAAATGGGAGGACTGGACTTGATGACTTCTTAAGCCCTTTCTAGCCCTGACCTCCATCAGGAAGCCCTTCCTGGTCTAGTAGTTACCTGTGCCCCTTGCTTCTCAGCTCATTATGCATATATTTGGCAATCAATCAATCAATCAACATTTATTAAGGGTTAAGCAATGGGGATAGGAAGAAAAGTAAATAACACTTCCTGCTCTCAAAGAGCTCACAATCTAATAATCATTAGATCTAATAATCTGGGCAAGTCACTTCACCTTGTTTGCCTCAGTTTCCCCATCTGTAAAACGAGCTGGAGAAGGAAATGGCAAACCACTCCAGTAGCTCTGCCAGAACACCCCAAATGGGGTCACAAAGGGTCAGACATGACTGAAATGAATGAACACAACAGATCTAATAATCATTGTCTGATGACAAGCTGTAATGCCCCAGGAGAATGTGATCTCCTTGAAGACAGGGAGCATTTTTCATTTTGCTTTTACATCCCCAGTCCTGTGCATGCAGTAGGACTGCTTGTTGGACCGGACGGCTTTGCGTAACGGGTCTAACACTTACTTGCTGTGGGATTGTGGGCTAGTCTTTTCTCCTCTCTGAGACTCACTTTTCTCAGCTGTGACACAAAAATGATGATACCTGCATGCCCTACCCCACAGGGCCACTGCAAGAAATGGGAGCTGTAGCAATGTGGTTTTTATTTAAAATATTAAAAAAAAATTCATGCCCCATTAAATAATAGCTAACATTTATATCACCTTACTACGTACCAGTGTTTGAGTGCCTTACAATAACTATTTGATCCTCATAACAACTTTGGGAGGTCAGTGCTATTATTATCCCCATTTTATAGATGAGAAAACTAAGGCAAATAGGGGTTAAGACTTGCGCAGGGCCACCTTGCTAGTAAATAACCAGGACATTTGAACTGGGATGTTCCTAACTCCATGCCCAGCACTCTATCCACTGTGGTACCACCTACTCACCCCACAAAACTAGTCAATGGAAGAAATGGTAAGATTCCACCAAAGTGTGGAAAGGAGGCAAGACTTCCAGGGAATATGGAGGTGGTTGGTGTTAGAAATTGAGTGGAGTGGTGTGGATTCATCAAAGCGAATCTTTCCCCCCAAATCCAAGGCCAATGTTGAGTATTTCTTATTTGTGAGACAGAATTGTTTTTCCTCTGACTCTAAGCATCAGGAAGGTCACGGATGCCCTTTATGACCATGCTATCACCTTTGTAAGCACAAAGGAAAATAGCCATATGAAAGCCTTCTCAGTGTTCTTAATGAGTCCATAGGTGAACAGTATTCCTCATCACAGCCCCCTGACATTCCCAAATCCAGACAGACATGGCAACTCTTCCCAGAAACTACAACTGACCCACCACTTCGGTGTCTTAGAGCTTACGAATCTTCCCGGGAGGAAGGATGGACAAGCATTATGGTCTCCAGCTTGAAGATGAAGGAGCTGAAGCTACAGAGAAGGTTGTGATTTTTTTTTCCTCCCAAGGACACACAGATGCTAAGTATCAGAGCCAGCAATTAGCCCAGATAGTCCAACTCTACGCCTAGCGTGCCCAGCACTGGGTCAAGCTCTAGCTGAGGAGGAGAGGGACATTTCTTACAGTCTGCCCTTCTACCCGAGTTTCAGCTCTGCCACTCAGGAGCAGTGTGTGGCCATGGGCAAATCAATCACCTTCCCTGGGTCTCAGCTTCCTCCTCTGTAAATGATGAGGTTGATCTAACCCAGGGATTCTTAACTTTTTTGTGTCCTGGACTCTTTGGCAAACTGATGAAGCCTATGGACCCCTCCTCGGAATGTTTCCAAATGCATAAAATAACCCACACAATTACAAAGGAAACTAATTCTATTGAAACACAGTTACCAAAATATTTTTAAAAACCAAATTCATAGAGCTCCTGGCTTATATGATCTCTAGGCTATCTCAGACAGGGTGTGGTACAGTAGAAAGAACCCTGACTTTGGAGTTCTGGGACCTACATTCGAATCCTGGCTCCGCCACTTAGTCTAGTATCCATAACAACATGGCCTGGGCTGGGTCAGTTTCCCCATTTGTAAAGTGAGGGATTGGACCAGATGACCTCTAAAGTCCCTGCTGGGTCAAGGTCTAGGATCCTGTGAACCATCCTTGCCCCAAGATGTTCAGAAAGCTGAGAGCTCTTGTAAGGGTTTGCAGGCAGGAGGTAGGTCTTGTAACAGAAGGCTGGAATGTCACCCACAATTCTAGGAAAGATCTGAAAATCTGAAGATCTAGGGAAGGCTGCACTGATATACAGAAAGTGCAGTAACTTCAAAATGTGTCCATAGGAGGCCAACTCTCTCGACCCTGCTTCATGCTCAGGTTATTTAGATGATACAGTGCGCTTCACGTCTGTGAAATGCCCAGATCTATTTTACTGTTTTAAACTATCATTGGAAAGTGCTCCGAGGTGACCAAGGTTTAGACTAAACTAAGTAGCTTTCAGACCACCAGAGACTACTCAAAAAGGGAGAAAAAGAAGCCTCTGAGGCACCAGGAATGGAGTACCACCATTCTGTCAAAGGAGCCACCCTTCATGTCTCCTCAAAGGCATAAAAAACATTTCCCTCACCATGCAATTCATCTTTCCTCTCCCTGTCCTTCTTCCCCGTCTTCTGTACAGAAGACACTTTCCTATGCCAGAGATGGTACAACAGGTTAGGAGCATTGAGGACCACTGTCCTGAATGAAAGCCCAGTCACTGGGCTGGGATGGAGATTGGAACCAAAGTGCTGGGACTGAAATTCCCAGGCAAGCCTCCTGACAACCAGGGCTGCACCCTATACCGACGGGAGCAGACTAATCAGTTAGTCAGCCTCAGGAGTTTCCTCCTGCATAAAATGATAGCACTGGATCAAATGATTCCTACAGTCTCTCCTAGCTCTAGATGCTGCGATCTCAGATGCAGAGTCCTTTGGCTGGGAGAGAGGAAGTAACAATAATTCTATAATACCCTAAGGCTACTGCATTTCCAAGAGCAGTAATTTTCTATCAACCAATCAGCCAGCACTTATTCTGTGTTGGGTACTGTGTTATGCTGGGGCACAGAAACACAAAAAGGAAAACCATCCTTGACTTCAAGGAGCTTATATTCTTTAGGGGAACAGACACAAATAGTGAGGGCACTCCCTCTACCAGATCATAACCAGACTCAGAAGATGATCACAGACAAAGGAAAGTATCACTGTGAGACTCTTCCCAAATAGACTACAATGGTCTACACTACAGGATAAAGGCAGGATGCAGTGGACACCATAAGCACTGAATTTGGAATTAAGACAACACGGAATGTGCTATTTACTAGCTAGGAGAAGTTGGGTAATTGACTAATCATCAAGCATGTATTAAGTGCCTACTATGTACCCAGGGTCACCTCCAGGCTACAAAGCGGCATCGGGAAACCATGGCGACGGAGAAGTTGATAATATGTTGTCATCCCCGTTTTATAGAAGAGGAAACTGAGGCTCTGAAAAAGGAATCTTTGGAGTTGGAAGGGACCTCAGAGGCCCCCTAGTTCAACCCCCTCCCCTCATTTTACAGAGAAGGAAACTGAGGCCGAAGGAGGTTAAGTGCATAGATCCTAGCTGGAAGGGGCTTGCCCAGATAGTAAGCGGCAAAGGTGGGCTTCGAACCCAGATCTACGGGTCCAGTGATGGACCTGAGAAACCCCGGATGGAGGCGGACGGCGCTGCCACCACGGCCGGAATGAACGCAGGGTACAAGGGGGAGCCTCTCCCCGCACCCCGAATCCTCCCACATCCCCTAAGGAAACCCCAGGAGTTGTGCTCACCCCGCTCGGCAGGTTCTTGACGATAAGTCGCGACATGGCGACAGGCTGCGCACTTCGGCAACTGAAGGGATCCTGGTCCGGACGGGGCTCCCCCCGGCAACGCTTTCACGCTGCTTTCCTGGGCGCCGCCATCTTGCTCCGCCCGAAACGGTGTCACGTGGCACGCTGAGCCGAGCCGGAAGCGGGTGTGACGGAAACTAGCAAGCCACGCCCCCCGGGCCAGAGGGGTGGGGCGGAGAAGTTAACCAGAAGAACCTGCGTCTGCGCAGGCGTAGGGCCACTGAAGCAACCGACCGAGGGTGTAGGGAGGAGGCACGACCAGAAGAGGGCGCCTAATTACAGAATGGAGCCAATGGAGCAAAGCCTATGTCGTGGGATTAGAGCAGGTCCAGGCACCTGAGAAGAGAGAGCTGGGAGCTCGGAGAGGCCTAGACTGAAACCCTCATTTTAGTTAACGACAACGTAACAAAAAGGGGAGAAGGAAGAAAAAGAGGAGGAAGAGGAGAAAGAAAAGGAGAAGAAAAAGGAGGAAGGGGAGGAAAAGAAGGAAGAAAGGAGGAAGAGGAGGAGAAAGAAAGGAAAAGAGAAGGGGAGGAAGAAGAGGAGGAAAGGAGGAAGAGGAGAAGGAAGAAAAAGAGGAAGAGGAGGAAGAAAAAGAGGAAAGGAAGAGGAAGAAGAAAGAAAGAAGAGGAAAAGGAGAAAGAAGAAAAAAAGGAGGAAGAGGAAAAAGAGGAGAAAGATAAGAAGAAAAACCAGCATTAATATAGCTCTTTCAGGTTTTCAAAAGATTTTATACATATTATATTACACCCAAACAGCTAAGTAGTGAAATGGACATTGAGTCAGGAAAACCTGAGTTCAAATCTAGCCTCAGACATTTACTAACTGTGTGAGTCACTTAACCTCTGTCTGCCTCAGTTTCCTCATCTGTAAAATGGGGATAAAAATGGCACCTATCTCACAAGCTTGTTATGAAGATCAAAAGAAATAATAATTGTAGAGTGCTTAGCGCAATGCCTGGCACATATTATGATGATGATCATTATCGTTAACTTATTTGACAGAGACAGAGGTTAAGTGGCTTGCCCAAGGTCATTCAGTCAACCAACAAGCATTTATTAAGTTTTTCCTAAATTCTGGGCACTAATCCTTGTGGACACAAAGAAAGGCCAAAAAAAAATCTCTGCTCTCAAGAATCCCCGTCTAAAGGAGGAGACGACACTCAGACACTTACGTACAAACAAGCTCCAGACGGGATCAGTTGGAGACAATCAACAGAAGGAAAATACTAGAATTAAGGGGGACAAGAAAGCCTTCTTGTAGAAGGCAAGATTGCAGCTGGGACCTGAAGGGAGCCAGGGAGGTCAGGAGGCAGAGATGAAGAGAGAAAGCATCCCATGCTTGGGGGGCAGCCAATGAAAATGCCTGCAGTCTTAAGATAGAGTGCTTTGGGGCACAGTGGATAGAGCACTGGCCCTGGATTCAGGAGGATCTGAGTTCAAATCTGGCCTCAGATAACATAACACTTACTAGCTGTGTGACCTTGGGCAAATCACTTAACCCCATTGCCTAACCAAAAAAAAAAGACAGAGTGCCTTGTGTGAGGAACAGCGAGATTGCTTGTATTTGAGATAATAGGGAGCCAGTGGAGTCTACTGAGCTCTCCTCCAGGAATATGATAATCAACCTACACCAGCCTACTTGTGCCATTCTTCGGCATGATCCTCTATCTCCCACCTCTGTGCCTTTGCGCTGGCTGTCACCCATGCCTGGAATGCCCTGTCCACTCTCTTAGTTACACACTAGCTTCCTTCAAGTCTCAGTTCAAATGCTGCCTTCTGCGGAAATCCTTTCCCGGTCCTCCCCAGCTCCTGCCCTTCTGAGATTACCTCCCTTCTATTCTGTATATGTATGACTTAGATCTTGTTAGTACTGTCCTTTCTGACCCCATTTGGGGTTTTCCTGGCAAAGTTACTGGAATGGTTTGCCATTCCCTTCTCCAGCTCATTTTACAGATGAAGAAACTGAGGCAAACAGGGTTAAGAGACTTGCCCAGGGTCACACAGCTAGTAAGTGTCTGAGGCTGGATTTGAACTCGGGTCTTCTTGACTCCAGGCCTGGCACTCTACCTGCTGTGCCACCTGGCTGCTTGAGTCTACCTGGTTATTTACGTGTTGTCTCCCCTAATAGAATTAAATTCTTTGAGGCCTGTTTTTGCTTTTTCTTCCATCCCCAGCACTTAGTTCAGTATCTATCACACAGTCAACAAGTATTTATTAGGTGCTTCCTACATGCCAGGCACACTTAATAAACACTTGCTGACAGATTGACTGACAGTGTTCTGAGGTCCCTCCCTGCTCTAACACTCTGTGATTCTATGTGGGGAAATTGAAGAGCATTTACGTGCTGTTTTATTCAATAGCAGGCTAGTTGATAACATATTGAGAACAAGGTAATGGAGCCCCTTTCTTTTTACCTTGCTCCCTGGGTTTGTGATTCTACTCCCTCCCCTGCCGACTATGTATCCACCAACATTGTCTGTCTGCTCAGGAAAGGATCTATGCAAGCCAGATTCTCAGATTACATATGGGAGAAAGATCCAACATAATCCAACCTAATCTGATAGTCTCCAAGCCAGTAACACCCCAGGTTACGAGAAGCAGGAGCACCTGGGCCCAATTAACTCCTCACCCAGAGAAACAGGCCAAAGGTAGGGAGAGATGCTGGGAGAAGCAGAAAAGAGAACAGAAGAAAAGAAATAGGTGGGCTGTGGGGATGGAAATTGAGATTTTAGAACTTTAGGGGACTATAGAAGATAAAATGTCAGATCTGGAAAGGACTTAGGACATAGAGTGTTAGAACTGGAAGGGGCCTTGGAACAGAGAATGTTAGAGCTGGGAGAGGCCCTAACTTAGAATGTCAGAGCTAGGAAGACCTTTAGAACAGAGAATTTCAGAGCTGGAAGAGGCCTTAGAACAGACAATGTTAGGGCTAAGTGGGACCTTGGACCACAGAATGTCAGACCCAGGGGTGTGCTAGGGTCAGATCTAGTCACCCTGAAGGAACAGGTTGTTAAATTTTCAGTGTGATCGTTTATACCTAGGAAATTGACAAAGGCTACAAACCAGGGTTTTCTTTATTACTTTTGTTGATTGTCTAGATTTAAGAAAGTATTATTCATGCAGATTGAACTTGAAAGTATGTATACACTTATTTCCCCCAAGAGCCTTGTTGATAAACATTTCCTAGTTTACCCCGTGCAGAACTGACAGAGATCTTAGACACCCTATTGTCCAACCTTTCCCTTTTACGTATAAGGAAATAGAGACCCCAAGTTTCAAGATGACTTGCCCATGGTCACAAAGCTAGTTAGTCAGGACTAGTTAGTAGGGACTCCTTGTTACAGTCTCCCACCCTGGTGTACTTCCCAGTCCACCAGAGTAAGTAGACATCACACAAGATGACCCCAGGCCTAGAAGACTGAATATCCCGTGCAAGAAAAATATCTGTTGATTTAATTTATTTTTGTCTGTTTGAGAGACCATGCAGGGTACCAGGGAGGAGGCAAAAGAAATATCAGACCCAGTCCCTGACTCTAGAGAGATTACCATTTAGATGGAGAGCCAAAAACACCATATATTTCAATGACTCTAGAATCTCATTCCTGTGAATATGCCCTCTAACCGGGCAGATCATGACCCATCCAAGCCTTCTATCCTGCACCACATTCTCTGCTAAGGGTCCTTCCACATTCCCAGTCTTCCTCTTGAATTCTTATCGTATGAATGTCAGTAGGTGGTGAAGGGCATAGAGTGCTGGGCCTGGAGTCCGGAAGACCGGAGTTCAAATCCAGCCTCAGACACTTACTAGCTGTGTGACCCTGGCCAAGTCAAATGAGCTGTAGAAGGAGATGGCAAACCACTATGGTATCTTTGCCAGGAAAACCTCAAAAAGGATCACTAAGAGTCAGACACAACTGAAAAATATCTGAACAACAACCATAAATTGATACAATAAGACATGACAGTTAGGTGGTGCAGTGGGTAGAGCACTAGACTTGGAGTCAGGAAGACCTGAGTTCAAATCTAGCCTCAGACATTTACTTAGCTGTGTGATCCTGGGCAAGCCTCTGACTCAGTTTCCTTAGCTGTAAAATGGGGATAATCACAGCACCTACTTCCCAGGTTGTTGTAAGGATCAATGAAATGATGTTTATGAAGTGCTTTGCAAACCTTAATAAGCTCTATAAATATTGACTATAATTTGTCTGTCATCCCACTTTCCATATATGACTAGCTGACTTCCTTTTCCAGTTTCTATTTCTCTGATGAGATCATTGCCACCATTTTCCTATGCTATCCTTCCAAAATCTGATGTTGCCTTTTGTTACTGTCTGGGCCACTCAATTATCTTCATGGGTTTAAGTGTTAACTATGTAGTCTAGGATTGACGAGATCTTAGCCATCACCCCATCTAAGAGGAATCAATGTAGCCCAGTGGGAAAATTGCTGCATTTAGAGCTAGAGATCCCAGGTTCCAATCTCTACTCCACCCTTGTGTGACTTTGGGAGCATCACTTAACTTCTCATAGGTCAAAGGAAGGGGTTTGACCATCTGGCCCCAGAGATCTCTTTCAGTTTTAAATCAATGATTCTTTGTTCCCTAACCCCACTCTTCATTTAACTTCATTCTTCAGAGAAGAATGTCATTTTGAAGTGGAGTGATCTGGGAAGATTTCCTGCCAGAGGAGAAGCTTGAGCTGGACCCTAAGGGCCAGGTGGAAGGATAGGGAGGACATTCCCAGCTGGCACGGAAGTTTGGAGTGAGGAGTTCAAACTGGGGTAGAGTTTTCTCTTCATGTACCTACGATCGATGGTATACTTTACAAGTCAACAACTCATTTGCCCCCTAAAGACCAGGTCTAGACCTGGAAGGGACCTCAAAGGCCATCTGGTCCAACCCTTTCATTCTACAGGCGAGGAAACTGAGGCCCAAGGGTCACAATTAGAATTGGAATCCAGATCTTCCAACTCCAGAACCAAGCCTCAACTCTTCCCACCAAGTTGTCCCAGGGGATCCGCCTCTTAGGGAGCCTAGAACACCCGTGAGAAGCTGGGAGCCCACTGACCTTGGAAGCA